ATGAGCAGGCCTGTATTGGATGACTTGGCTAGACTCATGATTGCCAGAAGAAATTACAGAATAGTTACACAAGCCCAATTAAACAGTATAGGCTCAGCTGTATGACAGGTAAAGAACACCATGAGAGTCATTCTAGGTAAATATGATAAACTCCTCAAATTACTATTATTCTGCAGTCAGCTTAGTGCAAGAGTGGATAGAAAAACATAGTTTTATGGCCATTTGCATCTCAAGTCCTTTTTGGATGTAATTAGGGTTACGTAGAGTTGAAGCTAATGTAGTTGTGCCTGTCAGAAAAGAACTTACACTGGCTATCATTAATTTAAAAAATCGGCTTCTTAAAACAGAAATCATGTTTCTGTGGTGGTATAAAGACAGAAATTAAATCTTCTTTTGGAGCAATTGCAATCTTTTCCCCTCTTACATAAATGGGTTTAAATGAACATTCATGAAGTAGGATAACTCATAGGATAGTTCAAGTTGGAAGGAAGCCCAGGAAGTCTCTAGCCCAGCCTCCCATGCATAGCAGGGTCAGCTCTGAGGTCAGACCAAGTGGCTCAGGGCTTTATCCAGTCCCATTGTGAAAACACCCAAGCATGGAGAATACACAGTTGCTGTGGGCAACTCCTTGACTGTCCTCATGGTGAAAATGTTTGTCCTTATATCTGGTGCCTACTTCTCTTGTTTCAATTTGTGCCTGTTGCCTCTCATTCCTCCATCCACCATTGTGAAGAGCATGGGTCCATCTCCCGCTCCCCGTAGGTATTGGCAGGCTGTTGGTAGGTCCCCCAAAGCCTTCTCCTCCCCAGGCTGAACGAACAGGTCCAACTCCCTCAGCCCCTCCTCACACAACAAGTACTCCGGCCCCCAACCATCTTGGTGGACCTCTGCTGAACTTGCTCCACTTTATTGTCTTTCCTAAATACAATGAGCACCAGCTTTCCTTACCCATGAGTGTGAGATTAAAGAAAGGCATTGCGTGAAGAGATGAGACAGTGTGCCAAGATATCGGAGAGGATGGGTACCTGCTAATGCCAGCTTCAGTGCCTTGAACACACTAGGTTTCTTTTGGGAGCTTTCGTAGAGAGATGGCAGAACGATGGTCTTGCACGTCGACTGGAGGAAGAGATAAGCGCTGCCAATCCAAGGAGTGGAGCTGCCTGCCATCTTCAGCACCCTACAAAATCACACAGGTGAGCTGAGAGAATATAGGGAAAATGGCCTGATGCCAGGTGAGTGCTTACAGCAAACACTAAGCACAGGCATAACAGGATTATGGGGGTTTACCGTTATTTCCTAGAGGAGGTGGTGATGTTGTTAAAGCAAGTGTAACCTTTGAGGAGTTTACTGTTCTGTAAAGCATAACACAGTGGGACATGGTGTCCCAAAGACTTAGCAGCTCACAAAGCTCTCCTTTCATTTTCCATTCATTCTATAGTCCAAAGAGACTCCAAAGCAAAGAGTTTCAGTCCTCAAGCCTCTGACTGCCTAGCCAAGCTGGCAAAGTCTAAAGATGCATAATTGGGGTGCCCCAGGGAGCATGCAGCAGTCCTGGCTCTGGCAGGTTCACACAGACTGAAGCCCTATTGAAGGCAGAGGCATTTTGCCTGAGGTCCCAGTCCCCTGGTTGTCCTCACTAAAGGATACGTTACAGAGCCCAGGGCTCATGTAGCAGGACACTTTACACAGATAGGACAAGGGTAATGATTCTAAACCAAAAGAGAGTAGATTTAGGCTAGATATAAGGAAGACATTTTTTACAAAGAGAGTGGTGAAACACTGGCACAGGTTGCCCAGAGAAGTGGTAGATGCCCCATCCTTGGAAACATTCAAGGTCGGGTTGGACGGGGCTCTGAGCAACCTGATCAAGTTGAAGATGTCCCTGCTTATCACAGGGGGGTTGGACTAGATGACCTTTAAAGATGCCTTCCAACCCAAATGATTCTATGATTCTATGACACAGGGCTATCACTCTGCTTTATGTACTAGCTCATTTATTATTACTCTTCCACCATCTGCCTCTTCCAGCAACATACCTGGAAGACAGCACATCCACCTCTCTGTTCTCATCATGCCTGTTCCTCGCTGACCAGCTAACGCAATGCTTATACCTACCACAGCTGCACCCAACTCTACTCCGAAGGCAAAGATGAACCAAAACACCTCCCAGGCTACAGATGCTCAGCATGGAAAAGCTGTACTAGAGTGGGCAATACTGGACTGAGACTGTGGTGGCTGGAGAGCACCTGACAGCCCAGGAGACAAGCATGGCCACCTCTCCTTTCTGGTATGTACACAAACTGTCTGAGCATGTCCATGAGCCGGTCACCACAAGCCCCACGAAACTGCTCTCACAGACAGCAGCGCTCGGAGTCAGTCCTTCATTGCATCATAGTGACAAGTAATATGGGGCTTTTGGCTCAGCCCCAGTCCCAAGTCCTGCCCCCTCTCTGACTACTTGTTTGCATCTCTGTCACACCATCAGCTGCTTCCCCCTGGGCATCCCTTCCTTCATGCTTTCTGCCCTCTTTCTCAACCCCAATAGCCTTCCCTCAGCTGCAAAGCAACTGGCCTGACAGCATAACTGCTGGCCATGACAGTGTCCCTGACTTCAGATGTCCTTTAGATGGTGGGTGCGAAGATCTTTTGTCCCCAGGGGCTGCCAGACCAAGATGATGACCTCCCACGGACAAGATGTCCTTCAGGTGGTCGCTGGGGCTGGGAACGATTTCCCTCCTGGGCAGCAGATCCAACAGGGCGCTGGAACATATGGCCCACCCTGTTTCCTTACCATAGCCTTGAACTGTGCCCAGCATGGGAGCCTTCTACTTGTTCAGAAAATACAGGAAATAACCAGGGAATCATGAAATTCACACTGAACTTTGGAGTTCACAGAGTGCCTGTGGGGGATGCAGGAGTGTTCCCATGGCCATGGGCTGCCACATCACACAGGCCTTGTAGAAAAGCATCTCGTAAAGAAGAAAGAGGAGGATGCACTGCCGCTGCTGTCCAGGCCTGGTCTGGGCCTCCAGACAGGGAGCGGGAAGTTTGGCATCTGGGCACCCATCTCCTAGCGTCTCGCAGAAGGAGGGTAACAGAATCTGAGTAACATCTTAGAAAACTACAGCTGTGAAATATTTAAAAGGTTTAACCCACAGAACAATTTGTCTTTTGAAGTGCAAATGGCCGAGAGCTCCCTACCAGCCCAGAGGCAGATGATGTCCAAGGACCCCGCTGCCCCTGCCCCCCCTTCCCCACACAGACCGGGCTCTTGCTCCTCAGCAACCGCCTGGTTCGACTCAGCAACGCCGGCGAGCCTGGAAATTACACCGGGCTTGCAAAAACTCAGGTAAGGACCCCTTGGCTGTCGTGCCTCTGCAGTGTCACCCCCGCAGGCGAGTTTTCCAGCCCAGTGAGCGCTGCTCCGTCCCGGTCCCCCCTCGCCGTGGGCTTCAGCAGCAGCAGCGGCCAAACGGTTGCGGGTGCTTCAGAAAGACCCGCCCCGGGCGACAGGTAACGTACGCGATCGCCGTCATGGCCTTTTTCGCCGACCTTTGGCACGCCTCAGGCGGCTGCTGCTTAATTCCTGTCAAAGACTTCACTGGGAGGGGGACCGTCTTTATTTTAAGGAAAAAGAGCTAGGGCGGCGAGTCCGGGGCAGCCCCCAGCCCTGGGCACGGCCGGCCCGTGCCGCCCGTGGTGGCACCGCGTTTTCCCCGGCACCTGGATGTCCCCGCCGGGTCAGACGCCGGGGCCTGCTGACCCGCCCCGTGAACGCCCCCGGCGCCGCCGTCCTGCGAGCGGGGCAGCACCGGCCGGGGCCGGGGGGCCGGGCCCAGAGA